CCACTCCTCGGAAGGAAGGTTGGGCAATCCTACTTCCGTAGTGATACTGCCTCGGAAACCCAAGGAGGGGTCGCTATGAGTCGGGTTTGACTCGATGGCACATAACAACAACATCCAAAATTTTAAAGACATAAAATGTCAGAATTGAGGAGTGCCTGAATGGTTATCTAATATTCCCACTCTTCAATTTTGTAACTGAAGAAATTTAGTGTTTCCAGATTACAGAAAAATCTTACTTTGCTGGAGTATCACATCAATATGGAAGGAATTGAGGGAACCACAACTTACAATTCTGACTCATAACGACCTTCATTGGGTTTTCAAGAAAGTAAATCTTTATGGAAGTAGATTGCTCAGTCTTCCTTCTGCTAAATGGCTGGTAGATTTTAAACTGTTAACCTTCTGGATAGCAGTCAAATGCCTTAGGCACTACACCACCAGAGCTCCACGATTTAAGAGTTACACATTTAAACTGCAGAGCACTTACCTGCAATCATACTTCATGAATTTCTACTTTCCCACGTGGGCAATGAGATGCTGTATAGAATGGCTTCCTGTGCCTCAGCTCATCTACTAAGACCACTTTTTAACTACATGTTGACCAAGTATGCTACCAAATAGTATCAACAACCACACTATTGTTTGCTATTTTGCTAAAATTCTACTTGGCAGACATTGTGAGAAGTGCTAAAAATATGAACCATGTGTGTCCATTTCCAAACCTGTGAGTTAACGTTCAGGATTTTCTACTCATTCAGATAGTTCTTCAGCAAATCTCAGTATCAATGTGTATTTGTAATAATTTAGTTAACAGAGACATATGAGATCATTAAACTATCTTAAAACAAGTTGCATAAATATAGTTCCTCATTGTGAAGGAAGGAGCTCTGGTGGCACAGTGGATAAGGCACTTGACTGTTAACTGGAAGGTCAGCAGTTCAAACCCACCAGCTGCTCCGTGGAAGGAAGGTTGGGTCATCTACTTACATAAAGATTTACAGCCTCCGAAACCCAATGGGGGTTGCTATGAGTTGGAAACTGACTTGATGGCAGTGAAGAGAGAAGAATAGATATTTATCTTGTTCCTTCTATAAGCACGCCCTATATTATTTCATGCAACCTTAAAATAGCCTGCAGCGGAGTTATCTTTAACGTCATTTTGCATAAGGGGATTCAAATATAGGTATGGGCAACATGTAAAAAAGAAATTGGCATAGTGGTGCTTATGAAAATACTTCCGGGAAGAGGGAGCAGCTGGCTAACAGATGTAGAAGGTGGGTGTTAGTTGCATGAAATATGGTATACTGTTGTTGCCTTGTGTCATATAATTGATTCTGACTCATGGCAATCCCATGTGTTATGGAGTAGAACTACTCCATTGGAATGTCTTGACTATTTATTATCTTTATAGAAGCGGATAACCAGACTTTTCTTCCATGGAACCCCTGAGTGGTTCAAACTGCTAAACTTTAGATTACCAGATGTTTATGTTTATGCCATCTAGGGACTGTCTCTCTCTCTTTTTCTCTCTGTGTGTGTATAGGCTTCCTTGGTGGCATGAGCAGTTTTTCACCAGCTGCTAACATAAAGGTTGGTGATTTGAACTCACGCAACAGCTCCATAGGAGATCTGTGGTGTAGTGCCTAAGGCATTTGACTGCTAACCAGAAGACTGGTGGTTCAAACCCACCAAACACTCTTCAGAAGGAAGATTGGGCAATCTACTTCCATAGTGACACCGCCTTGGAAACCCAAGGAGGGGATGCTATGAGTTGGATCCGACTCGATGGTAGTGAGAGCAGCTCCATGGAGAAAAGACCTGGCAATCTGTGTCTGTAAAGATTACAACCAGCATTTCTACTCTGTAACACATAACATCACCATGAGTCAGAATAGACTCACTGGCAAGTGGATAGCTATATAAAAATTCTAACTCAGAGTCAAATTGTATCAACGGCAGTGAGGCTTTATTTTTTTTTTAATAACGCTAAGAGCATATTTTTCTCTTATAAATGCAATGTTATGGGTTTTAGCAGAGCTTTGGTCACTGGATATTATCATGCTTTTATACTGCTGACTACTCCTCAGAAGGATACTGCCTCAGAAATCCAAGGAGAGATCACTATGAGTCGGGTCTGACTCCACGACATAACAACAACAACAACACTCTTTGATGTGTAACTAATGGGACAGAAACAAAGCAGATGCAAAGAAAGTTCAGAGTAACTCCCAAATACATGTGATTTAATCATACCAGGCCCCAGCTGTTTGATCTTACCTCAGTAAAAATGAAGAAGTCATGCTTCATAAATTAGAATTACTTTAGGAAGGCAATCGATACCACTCAGTAGCGTGATTTTTGAAATAGCTATAGCTGCTCCTTAAAAAAAAAATTCAGTGAAAATTTTAAATCTTAATTTTTCCATTTAACATACATGTAAAGTGTATGTGTGTGTATCTTCACAGTAGAACCATGTAAATGGCCTACTTTTTTTTTTTTCATTGTTTCTCTTTTCAGATAAAAAGGAATTTGATGCTTTTGTGTCCTATGCTAAATGGAGCTCCTTGGAGAGTGAGGCCACTTCATCTCTGAGTGAGGAAAATCTGGCTCTGAATCTGCTTCCTAAAGTTTTGGAAAACAAATATGGATACACCTTGTGCTTGCTTGAAAGAGATGTGGCCCCGGGAGGAGGTAGATCCTGCATGCCAAGGCACATTACAGAGCAAAACGGACAGTTATACGACAGACTTCCTAAGTTTCTCTGTCATTCTGTTGGAATATACAACTTATGGAAGTTTTTTAGGTTACAACATGTTGGGCAATAACATAGAAAAGGATGTGTTGTGATCCATCATAAACCAACCAACCAACCAACCAAAAATCTATCTTCTGAGGAAAATATGATATTGGGTGTTAGGGATGCCTTCCAGAACAAAGATCTCTCTACTGGCTTCTTGGCAGGCAGTTTTGTCTGTTACTCTGGACAGATGGTCTCTTGCTCTCCAGAGACCATGTCCTCCACCCATAGCTTAGTTTTAGGATAACCTTAGCCCTAGGTCAAGTAGGCTCCCAGGCCCTGGTCCTACCCAGTTCCAGCCACGAGATATCTGGACCTCAGCCTGCCCCGCTGCTCTCCTCTGCTCCAGATATCATCACCAAAGAATCTGCGACATTCCATGTCCTTAGATCCAGCTTACCTTTAAGAGGTTTGCTCCTGGAGGAATTGACAATGTCAGGAGATAGAGTAGAGGGGAGAAGGATGTAAAATTAAGAATCACCAGACACTAGAATACGTTTTCAACTGTTGCTTGAGAGTGACAAAGTAAACCAAGTTTTCTTTTTTCCTTATTTAAGAGAAGTATGCCATCAGAGCTCCTACGGAGCTGTTGGGTTGCATTGCAAGGAACCTCTGGATAAATCTAAAAGAATCAGGCTTATTGTACTCAAGGTGTCATAATAATAATTTACAAATAAATGAATTCTTTATTTCTAGCATATGCAGAAGACATTGTAAGAGTTATTAAGAAAAGTAGAAGAGGAATATTTATCTTGAGCCCCAACTACATCAACGGACCTAGTGTCTTTGAACTACAAGCAGCAGTGAATCTTGCCTTGAATGATCAAACGCTGAAGCTAATTTTAATTAAGTTCTGTTCCTTCAAAGAGCCAGAGTCTCTGCCTCATCTTGTGAAAAAAGCTCTCGGTGTTTTGCCCACCGTCACCTGGAGAGGTTTAAAATCAGTTCCTCTCAATTCTAGGTTCTGGACACACATGCGCTACCACATGCCTGTGAAAAACTGTAAAGGATTCATGTGAAATCATCTCAGAATTGTGTCAAGGATATTTGCACAACAAAGGGCTCAGTATGTCAGAAACCACTAGGAGGAGCTCCCAGCCTAGGGAATCATGACAATGGCCCCTCAAAGAACTCCCCTCCAGGTCTGGGTGAGTAGATATGTTGATAAAACCCACAGCATTGATTGGGCCGATGTAAAATTGAATGAGTCTACTACCAGCCCCAAGGAAACTTGTCCAGCACTAGAATGAGCTTAAGGCTGCAGTTTAGAGCCTTGGTTTTCTGGAGTGGGTAGGTAGAGGGTGAATTCTCCAGAACCTTGTACACATTCATCACACAACATCCCCTAACATGTGCCTAATAGTCTGAACAGACTCAGCAGATACAGTCACTTTTGCTTTGTGGCTATGAACTGTCACATCTACGATGTATTATACATATGAAACTATCCACATTTTTATGCAGATAAATATTATTTTATGTCCCTGAGTATCACAAATAGTTTGCTTTTGGCTCTAACCAGAAAAGTTGGAAGTTCAAAGCCATCAGGGAGTGCTACTGATAAAAGGCCTGGTGATCTGTTCTCAAAAATACTACAGCTAAGAAAACTCTATAGAGCTCAGTTCTATGTTGTCATGAGTTTGGTTTTAGGTTTAGTGATTTAAACTCTGCTGAAAGCTTCTCTGTAAGGAAGATGGTTCTTATTCCATGTTCACCCAGTGACTTCTGAAAGCAAGTAGGAAAAGCAGAGACCAAAGGGACAAAGATCAGACAGGACTGCAGCTAATCTCTACTGTATCTTTAGGGACAGTGCCTCCTCAGGGCAGATGAACTAAAGAAAAGAGCCCCCTTTTTTTGGATTAGTGCAACCCTAGTTCAGTACATAAGGCTTGGTGAGCAGAGAAGGGTCCATTTCAGTTCTTCCTTGTCCGCTTGGCCAGAGACCTTTGCACAGGGCATAAAGTACACAATCTTACTCAGGAACACTGAAAGGAGGGACCAACTGGGCTAAAAATGTTAGGCCAACAAGGAGATAAAGAAAAAACTAGCAATTGTATGCGAAGTAGAAAGGTAGTGACAAGATTCAGTAGTCTAGATAAGAATCTGGAAAATAGGAAGTAAATACACAGTTTAAAAACAGCAAGAATGGAGCTTAAACTGAGCTTTAGTCTGAATCATTTGCCTGTGGAGGCAGGCACGCCTTGTGTGCTTCCTGACCTCCTAGTCTCAGTTTAAGTTCTCCTAAACAACAGGGTCTGGTGGTGTAGTGGATAAGGCTGCTAACCACAAGCTCAGTGATTCAAACCCACCAGGGGCTCCACGAAAGGAAAATGGAGTGATCTACTCCCACAAGGACTTACAGCTTGAAAAACCCAATGTGGGTCACTATGAGTTGGAATTGACTCGATGACAGTGAGTTTAGTTTGGTTTGGAAACAACAGAGTGAGATGTTGGAGGGCCAATTAGTTGTTCCTGATAGACAAGGCTAATTTCATTCTCATAGGTTTGTTTTTCTTTATGAGAGTTCCATCTGCTATTAAAATGGTTTCCTAGTCATATGTAGGTGGAAGATCTTCAGACTCTGTCTTCTCTGATGGACATGATCCAACATTTGAGCAATAAAGTAAAGAAACTTCTGGACTGATTCACTAATAATGCATCACCTCCAGTGGTCTGAATATGACTTATGTTTGAAGTGGCTAAAAATCATTGTCATCTGGTCACTGCTTGGTGCCTGTGTGAAAATGCTCTCCTGCTTTTTATTCACAGAGGCACCCACATCACAGAAACCACTGTGGTTTTGGCATCAACCAACTTCCTTGTTGGAAATTTCAGTGAAAAAGTTAAAGATGAGTTACAGGGTATAAATTACTCTTGGAGAAAGTTTCTTTTGGGAAGGATCATTGTAGGGTCTCAGCAGGGAAGAACCCACACTGTCATTGTGCCATTGTGCTATGGGATGGCCAGGATCCCTGAGCTCTTGCCTGCCAGCTACTGTCTGAGATCTGAGACTTAGGAACCTCTTTGGCCAGTGTATGCAGGTCAAGGCTTTCTAAGATAGATACTGTTATAACTAGTTAGCAAGAGGCCCAGGGTTTTGTCCTTCACTTTGCAGGAACTCACACTGAACCTCAGACTTGCACATATACAAAAGAGAAATATCTAGCTCTAATATTTAGAGAATATACTCTCCAGGTTGACAGGTATTCTCAAGATCTTAAATTAGCATTTGACACAAATGGTTATTTATATTACTTACATGTAAATCAGTAAAAATACAGTGGATGACTGTAATGGATTGAAATGTATTCCCAAAAATTGTGTGTTGAAATCCTAAACCATGTATCTGAAAATATAACACTGTTTGATAAAAGGAGTTTTATTTTGTTTTGGTAATGGGTCTTACTGAGGTAGGGTAACTGAATCACTCTGAAATATCTCATGAAAGCAGAATAGGCACAGACACAGATGAGGAAGACAGACACCATATGAGGCCCCATCTACAAGCAGGGAAATGTTAAGGATTGCCAGTAGACATCAGAAACTAGGAGAAAGGCCCATAGAAAGAACTGGGATTACATGAGATCCTGATTTGGGCTTTTAGCCTCCAGAACTGTCTGAAAATAAGTTTCTGTTCCTTCAAAGCAGCTAATTGTGGTATATCTGATATGGCAGTACTAGGTAACTAAGACAGCATCCAAAACAAATTTTCTACTGATAGAACCCTGATTGTAACTGAACAATTGGAATCAATGGAACACAATTAGAAAAGAGTATTGTTTTTCCATTACACTTTTTAGCTAAAGGGACCGTATGTCCTGGTTCCTATTTTGCAGAAGGATAATTTTAATATAGCTCCCTTTCACTCTGAAATAAAGTTATTGGTTTGGATAATGGTCACTATACCTCTAACACAGTAGGGTACTCCTTACTGTCTGCATTACATTTCAGGCAGATCTCACAACTTTCCTGGTATTTTTGGAGCTTTAATACCTTTATTATTTCTAATTACTAAAAAAAAATCTAGTCCATATTGGTTTCTACTCATCCAGAGAAATACAGAATGAAGGAAACCAGTGACTCGATGAAGAAACTAGTCTACAGGGCTAATAGTCTACATGAGCCATGGCCTGCTCTATCCTGAGACCAGAAGAACTAATGATGCCTGGTTACCATCACTGACCATTCTGATCAGGGCCTCAGTATATATACCTTGATTGAATGGGATAAAAATGTGGAACATAAACTCAAATTCCTTATTAAAAAAAAAAAAATTACTGGACTTCCCAAGAATATTGGCTTGTGATACGATTTAAATCTTGAATCAAAACTACCCCTGGAAATCACCTTTTAGCTCACAAAATAGAGGATCATCTGTGAGTACTATGCTTCTTTATTAAAAAAAAAAAAAAAAAATCAGCTACATGAGACCAAATGGTCAGCAAATACTTAAAACAAAGATGAGAATGTAAGGTTCAGAGAAACTAAATTAATGGAAACCGAACAGCCAGAACAGAAATACTGAGACAGTTTACACATTGTGAAGAATATAACCAATGTCACTGAACAATTTGTGTAGAAGTTTGTTGAATAGGAACCTAAACTACTGTGCAAACCTTCACCCAAAAGATAATAAATTTTTTTAAAAAAAAAGTTCATAAAAATATATGTTATGACCACTAACCATTATACTTGAATTCTAGAATATAAATGAAGTACCAGTACAGATCGCAGTTCTAGGAAAGAAGGAGTAAATACCCACAACTCTGTCACTTCTGCTTAATCACAGCTATAAAATCTAGATAAAATGCATATAAAATCTATTGGAAGATTCTGGAAAGTAAATAGAGACAGGCCATTTGGAAAGTTAAGAATTCGAATTTCCACTATATTATTTCCCTCCAGTACCTCCTGGCTTTGACTTAGTGTCATCCAAAACCCGGAAATGAGTATGAGTGATGACAGAAAGAGTGCCAGAAGAAGCCTTCTGTTTCTGACCTGAACCTGGAAAAAAAAATCTCTTGAATCTCAGGAAGAGAAGGGTAAATCCTCATTATTTTTATTTTCTGTGTGTTTCACTCTTCAACCTTTAAGCAATCCTGTGGTGGCAGCAGCAGTATGAGGAGGCTATAGAGATCTTCAAGAGTTTTAATCTCTGCAGAAGACATCATCAACTGTGATATAAGAAGCTGTGGTCCCAGGATGGTGTGGCAAATATCTACTGATTATTATTAATTTTTTTTCTCTCGGTCCTTTTATTGTTTGCCCGTGGAGGTGAGGGCAATTGCAGGAAGTTAACTTCAGAATGGGGCAAAGAAATTCTTTGCTTTTTCACTAGAAAACTGCATACAGAAGCCATGTTGTTATTGTTGTTAGGTGCCGTCAAGTTGGCTCCAACATATAGCAACCTCACGTACAACAGAACAAAACACTGCTCAGTTCTGTGCCAGGCTCACAATTCATGCTATACCTGAGCCCATCACTGCAGCCACTGTGTCAGTCCATCTTGTTGAGGGCCTTCCCCTTTTCGTTGACCCTCCACTTTACCAAGCATGATATCCTTCTCCAGGGAATGGTCCCTTCTGACATGACCAAAGTAGGTGAGATGAAATCTGGACATTCTCGCTTCCAAGGAGCATTCTGGCTCTACTTCTTTGAGGTCAGATTTGTTCATTTTTCTGGCAGTCCATGGTACTTTCAGTATTCTTTGCCAACACCACAACTCAACAGCATCAATGCTTCTTTGTTCTTCCTTGTTCATTGTCTAGCTCTCACATGCATATGAGGTGATTGAAAATACCATGGCTTGGGTTAGGCGCACCTTAGTCTTCATGGAGACATCTTTGTTCTTCAGCACTTGAAAGGTCTTTTGCAGCAGATTTTCCCAGTGTCATCTGATGTCTTGACTGCTACTTCCAATGGTGTTGATTGTAGAACCAAGTAATATAAAGTCTTTGTTAACTTCAATCTTTTCTCCATTTATTTGATTCTGCTTATTGGTTCAGTTGTGAGAATTTTTATTTTCTTTATGTTGAGATGTAATCTATATTTCAGACTGAAGTCCTTAATCTTCATCAGTAAGTGCTTCAAGTCATCATCACTTTCAGCAAGCA